TCAGGGAGATCCAGCCTCCCGGACAAAACATGCCTTGTCCTCTTGACACTTGTGTTTCTGTCCCCCTCACCAGATTGGCTGAATTGAAAATTCTTTTACTGGTCCGAAGAATTAGTAGCAGTAGGCAAGTGGTGGGTACAACACTGACAATTCTTATCTTTCATTCCACCATTCACACTTCCCAGAAAGGTGATCTGGGAAGCTGAGAAAATTAGGACAAGTGTTGCATGCCTGGAATTATTTGTAATCTGGAGGTAGCAGCTGCTCTTTAAAACCTGAAAAGTTTTAGGTAAAAACTTGGGGAACTGTATGCTAACATAAAGACAGAAAAATAAGCGTATTGGTATTTATAAGACACAACTCTGCATGTTGTAAGTATTGGAAAGGAAAATGGTGAAATGCTACTCCTTGCCTGGGGTCAGTCTCCACATGACTTTCTAGTGCATGTGTGTAAATCTCATCTGGTTCACAAGGGGATTCTTTATCACCCTGGATGCTACCTGTCCTTGGTGGGCCTTGTTACATGCTATAATTTAAATCTTCAAATACCAGTTCTGACCCTTGTTCCCTTCCCAACTTTCTGTTCTCACACCATGCTCAACTGCTGATGACCAGCAGGTGGGATGTGACGTCCCCCAGCAGTGTCTTCCAGTTGCTTCCCAGCCCCCTCCCCAGCCTTCCTCCTTCTCTCCCTTTCTACAGGAGCAAAGGCCAAAGCGCCCTTCTCGGAACACAGCATTGGTGCAGGCACGTGGCTAAAGATGGGGAAGCATGAGCAGAGGAGAAAGAGGGGCTGGAAGATCCTGGTCCCCAACAGCAGCAAATGGCAGCTGCTCCTGCCCCTGCGGGGGGGCGGGGGGGGCGGGGGGGGGACACTCGCCCTTGTTTTGAATTCTGTGCATTTCCTGCTGCCTGCAGCCCAGGGCCTTGCTGACCACCATCCAGCCCGGCTGTATACCTGCTGTCTCAGGCATCAACTCCCACTTATACTTTTCACAAGAGTGAAGAAAGAAAGACCAGCAAAGCACACTGAATGCATATACGCTAGCTGTACAGGCGCAGGACAACAATTGGATGGAAACAAAAGAGTTAACGACTGCAAATTACAAAAAAAAAAAAAAAAAAAACAAAACAAAAAACAAAAAAAAAAAACTCGCTAAAACATTTACAGGCAATCTGAGTCCTTTTATAAAACAGTGAAGAAATCCCACCGCCCATCAACAGAAACCTAAGGGTCTGTATTCACAGAACAGCGGTGCGAGCCAGCAGTCTCCTCAAATACCAGCTGCACTGGGTGCTATGTCTATATGGTCCGAAAGCAAGTAGAAGGCATGTACACAAGACCCCCACCCTCGAGGAGCTTAGAAAGGAACCCAGTAACAAACTGATGGTACAAGTAAATAATTAAAGCCTGGTGTATGCATGGTCACATTAAAGGGTGTCTTTATAAAAGAGAACCTGGCCTAGTGCAGGTGCTGGCAGCTTAGGACACCAGCCAGGAGCCTTCCTCTGGGTCCTGAAGTTGGGAGTAGCAGGAAGGATAAGCCTACTTTATTAGAAAAAGGAAGGGAGGTACCTGAAGAAGGGCGCAGAATTTGGGACAGGTTGTGGCATACGCAGAAGTCCTAGGGTCAGAGATAAATACTGAATCTGTAGAATGCATATTTGGGTTGAATTCCCAGCACTGTCAGAAAGTAAGAAGAAAGTCCAGTATATCTCACTGGCACACATAAAGAAATAAAGCCTGGTACATGCATGATCAGATGAAAAGATGTTTTTATAAGAAAGAACCTGGCCTAGTCCAGGTTCTTTCTTATAATGCCTCTCTCAAAACGTATGGGAATTGGTAATATGCACACAATTCCAGGAATCCAGTCACCTCCATAGGCTTGGATAATCATTCAAGTAATTGGATTTGAGAATAACTGAATTCTAGAATGTGTTTTAAGAGCCAAAAATAAATTGAAGAAAGGAAGGAAAGGAGAGAGGGAGAGAGAGAAAGAAAGAAAGAGGGGGAGAGAGGGAGAAGAAGGAGAGAGACAGAAAAAGAAAGAAAGAAAGAAAGAAAGAAAGAAAGAAAGAAAGAAAAGAAAAAGAGAAAGAAAGAAAGAAAGAAAGAAAGAAAGAAAGAAAGAAAGAAAGAAAGAGAGAGAGAGAGAAATGGAGAAAGGGAAGCAGGGAGGGAAGACTGAATTTGACCTGACTCTATACACAGACCCTGTTCAGACAGACACATAGACAAGCCTGTAAACATTTAATTTGGTCATTTGCTGAGATACAAACAGAAGGCTCTTGCTTCTTATCAGAAAGCATTACACTATCCTTTCCATTCTTGTAGTTTCCGGGATTATTAAAAACACAAACCAGGGACTTGGCCTTTACGTGAGTCCTGCCAGGAGTTAGCTGTGCTAGGACAGAGCCTGTGGTTTCCTAGGGTCTCAATCTTGTCTTCTGAGTCTCTCTAACACGTAATATGCTAATTTATTGTTTTCAATGAATTCATTATTGACTAACGGACATTATCGAAACTCAGGAGAATACAAAATCATTCTATGAACAGACCCATTAGGCATCAGATTTTATAAACAATCCATTCAGTTTATCGAGAATAACTTGTGTTTAATACCTGCTAATTATGAAACTATGTAAAGCCATAGAGTAGCCCTAGGGCCTGGTGCTGTCTTTGACTAGGAAGAAAACACATAGAGAAAAGCCAGGTGGGAGACTTCTGATGACACCCATGCCCTTCTCTTGTATACAGGATACAGGGAAAAACACAAGTTGCACAAGCATCGTTGTCCTTGGGCAATGAGAAGAGGATAGGGAAATACATGATTACTTCTGCTGTCAGACACATCTTTCCACATCTCAGTCGTTTGCACTCAAAAGAGTTTGGTAAAGTTTCCTAAAGTGAGTAAGGAGTTATGATACGTGTGCCAAAGAAGAATTTGATGATTTAAAAAAAAAACTTGGAAATGGTTTTGTCACTAGAGCCAAAAAATGACACACTAATTATATGCAGTGCTACATAATAATTCCAAGTGTAATTGCAGTGTAATTTTTCTGACATGTATTCACTATCCATCGCCATCAGAATTATTATGCATAGATTATGTCACCTTGTTTTTCTAGTTCCCCACTATCTCTTTGAGGTGCAGACTTTTCAGATATGCAGAAGCCTTTACAAATAGGAGGTCCCTATAATACCTCTCTCGCCAAAGGCCCGCAACATATGAATAACAATACTAATGGGAATGCAAATAGCCAGCGTTCTGGAAAGCCAAACCCCAATTACTTCAGGGTTCACTTTGTAAAATAAGAACACCGGTGAGCAGGTACCTTCTTTGTAATTTGCCTGTAAATGCAGAGCCCTTTTGCGCTGCACTTTCCTGTGCTGCCCATGTCTTTCTGCTGTCTCCAAGAAGAGACCCTGGCCACCTCCTACGCAATGCAGTACAGGAATACGAGGAAGTGCGTGTGAAGCCAACACCACAGCACTCCGGCTCTCTCACTGGGGCCACAGTCCTGCAGTCCTCAGGCTCCCTGGGGATGAGCTTAGCTGTAGATCCTCCACTGGTGTCCTGTGCACACCCACACTCACTCCATGAATGCCCTGCTACTGCCATAGGAACAAATGCTACAATCTCTGACAGACCCACAACAGAAGTACCAGTGTACATAAATGTGTTTGACAGAAAGATGGGAAAGTGGAGAAATTACATACATAAAGACTTGTTAGGTCCAGGATGGTTATTGTCATTTTTAGACTCAGACGATGGTGCATGGGGGTGGACCAGACACAGGCTACACACACGCTGCCATGAAAGTTTGTTTTTTTTAGGTTTGATTAGTATCTGCAGTTGGATTAGTATCTGCCTTTAAAAAAAGCAGGTTACTCTCCATAACACAGGGGAGCATCAGCCAATTAGTTTAAGGTCTTAAAGAGCAAAGGCGGGCTTCCTGAGGGAGAAGAAATTCAGCCACCAGATTGCAACATAAAAATTCCACTGGAGTTTCCAGTTTTCAGTCTCAAGATTGCAGCATCACTGCTTATCTGAATCTCCAGGCTGCCAGCTTGCTCAACAGATCTCAGAGGTGCCAGGGCACACACACGCGTGAGCCAAGTCTTTAAAATCAATGATAGGGTGGATGAATGGGCAGAGAGGTAGATAGATGGGTAGATAGACAGACAGACAGATGTATAGATAACGTTCCCTCTCTACATTGCCCATGTCTCTATCCATGTGTGTTTTTATATTCATAACTGTGTCTATGTCCATATCTGTATCTGACAATCCATATCCACTGATTTTACAATCCTGGATTCAACCACCCCTTGACTGAAGATATTCACAAAAAAACTGGGTTTGTAATGAACATATGCAAATGTTTTTAGAATCATTATTCCCTAAAAGACATAGCATAATAGCAATTTATATAGTGTTTCCCTTTCATTAGGTACTATAAGTGATCTCAAGATGATTTATTGTACACAGGCGGATGTAGTTAGCTTGTGTGCAAATTCTACATCATTTTATACAAGAGGCTTGAGCATCCAAGAATATTGGTACAGCAGGGGGTCATGGGAACAATCCAGCTACTTGCAGATTCCACTGGTTCTTTTCCTCTGAAGAATTTTGCCTAATTCAAGCATATTCAGAGCATTAATATACATATGTGTTCAATGCCATGGAGATATAAATACATATTAGAACCCAGGACCTTTGCATTGAGATATATCCCCATCCCTTTTTTAAATTTCAAAACAGGGCTCATTAATTTGTTAAATTGCCCATGCTTAGCTCTACATTTAGATCAAAGTTGCATCCTTTTTAAATTATAAATGGCATATTAAAAATAGTATCTTTTACAACTAACAGATTAATACCAGAGAAATGATCAGAATTATAAAAGTTAGAATATTTTTCTGTTGCTCGCAGAAGTTTCGCTGTGGCCTCCTGGAAGGTGCACACTGTCTCGAGGGCTTCAGGGTTACTTACTGACTGCAGAGTCATAGGCAGTGGAGTTGTGCTGGCCCCACGTGAAGGGGTACGGGGACAGGTAGGCATGGGTGCAGTTCTTAAACGGTGGCTGATTGGCTGCAAAGAGAGCAGAAGAATGAGACCTGTCACCAAAGGACTCAGCAATGATTCACCCCTAATAGGACAGAAACATGGGAGCCTGGCACACACACAAAGTAAGATTACCAGTTCCATTGGCAGACTCAGGGAGTTGCTGTGAGGGAAAAACACTGCTATCAAGAAACTCAGGGGAGCTGGAGGGCGTATTGATCTAGAAGATCCAGTTACCAGTGTTAACTTGGTGGAATAAACACAAATGCTCTGAGTTTTGCCTTAGAATTGAAGGTACTATTCATTTATGCTCATATAGTCTCCAGTACAGTGCGTATTTTAAAATAATGTTTTAAAAATCCAATAAACTTGGGTTTCACATTAATAGTTCCATTGAAAGGAAATTTCTTCTCAATCCATTCCATTTTTAGGGAAGCGAAATAAATGATAGACCACCCAAGTTAATGATTTGAGTGCATTTTTAGCATTTGAAGGAAGAACACAAGAACTTCCATGTTGTTGCAAAACTTCACTTCATGACATGCACTTTATAGCAGAGAGAAGAGTTTTCTCTTTCCCTAAGTGTTTAGGGAAAACCTTCCTCTTACCCAATCTGACGTGCTCTATTTTGCCAGTCTAAATGACTCCCTTTGGCAAGTTGCTTGCTTATAGTCCAGGACAAAGAGCACTGTAAGGCGGTCAGGCCACCAGGTGTGCCCCTCAGAATGCCTCTGTAACATCCCTTGGTCCCTTTTAGGTGCGACAGTTTGTCATCAGCTTGCATCAGTTTTTAGGGCCCTCGTATTCTTATGACATATTCCACAATCTTGACTGTGGTGTAAATACATACTTCTATGTTTCACAGGAATATTTGCGAAACCCTCAATAAGCTTTTGGCTAACGGTTCTTTCATTGGTGGAGACAATAAAATAAATGCTGGATATTGTCAATGAATTGATTTTCAATGATTAATATAAAACGTACAGTTGAAAGAATGCAGCAGTCTTAAAAATTTATTCCATTTCAAAGGGGAACTTTAAAGTTTCAATTCAAAGCCATATTCATCAAAAGCAAAGCAGTTTTTGATATTGCCTACAAAGTTGGGCAAAGCCCAAATAAAAAGCTTTCATCTGCTTCTGATAGTAATTAAGTTTCATTATTTAAAAAAAACAGATTTTTTTTTAAACTTTGAAGCTATGAATATAAAATAATACCTCTATTTCTGGATTCTTACATTTGAGATCGCAAGACTTTTGTAGCCAAAAATAATTACTTGCAACATAGCTTTAAGAGACACTTGAAAGACCACTAGAACTTATGTCTGTTTGTTTGTTGGGATGAGTACACTTTAAATATGAGCAGAGTGACGGTGAATGTTTCAGTTTGATTCCTGCTTGATGGTGAAAGGTCATGACTCTTACAAGACATTTCCCCTGAAAAGGAAAGTCTTCTTGACCTTTGAAGACATTGTGTTGAGATTTTGTATGCGAGAATCCAACCCTGTGGCACACGATGTGCCCCAGAAGCTTACAGACAGGGGATAAAGCCAAGTGGTACTTACTATACCAGAACTTGTAGGTACTGGAATCATTTTCCTCCATGACCCCGCTAAACCAGCATCTCCAGAAGAATCCTTCATGGTAGAAGGTGATATTTGCTATCTGCACAGAGCACAAACAAAGGAACTTGCTGTCAATCCAAGAAACAGTATCAAAATTACTGCAAACAGGACATTTTTATGAATGTACCTTATCTCAAATAATGATCAGTAGCTTCCCACATATCTCTTCTGTGGATAACCAGGCACCCCATTGCCATTCTGTGACTTCAAGAGGCCACATAAGACTCTCCTCCCTCTGCCCAATACCTCAGTGTTTTGAAGAAGAAACGCACATGCTGTTCATCTGAGCACCTCTCCACCTCAGTCGCAAGAAGCCAGTAATCTGATCCAAAAGCCACCAGAAAGAGTAAAACCCCTAAAGCTCCAAAGAGGGCCCCAAAAAAGATGGCAATATTTAGCCTCATCTTCAATCCACTGGTTTACTCTTAAACAGAATAAGAAATTGGAAAACTCCAGCTTCTCAACAAAAACAGCAAAAACTAAAACTAAAACAAAAGCAAACTTAGATTCTTGAGGGGGCAAGACCTCCAGAAGCTCTCCAGGCTCCCACGCTGTGGGTTTTCTCTTGCTCCCCTCGTGAATTTGGGTCCCCTCTGCTCCGCCCTGGAGGACTCCGGCGGGCAGCTGAAAAGGGCTGCTATTTTAAGGCACTGATTGAATCGCTGCATTTCTCCCCTGGGAATCAAAAAATAGCTGACCTTCCCTGACTATAGGGAGGCGTGGGAGGAGAGGGCTGCAGTGAGTAATCCATGGAAGTGGACAGATGACCAGTGGCTGTGAAGTCACTGACACCACTGGCCCCCAACCCGCAGTGTCTGAACAAGATACTGTGCGTCTGCAGTGACCAACAGAGCCCTTAAGACACTTGAGATTCTCTCTGAAGATGCAAAAATCCCAGCTCTGAAGAACCGCAGAGAGTAAGTTGTAAATCCTCTCTTAATTCTTTGTAAACATTTGGGGATAAAAAACAATCTTTTGGGTCAGTGTCAAGTTTTAGCCATTCACATATCCACTTAAGAGATAAAAAATCTTCAATAGTAACATAATTATTGACAGTATTTTTGTAATGCATTTACTCATTAGTCTTCAACTAAGGACCTAAGAACAGCATTTCCAAGGTGCCTCACAGGTCTATAAAAGTTATTCTGATTAATTACCCCAAAAGTAAACTGATAAGAAAAGTTTCAAAAAATATATTGTTTTCTGAATGAACAAAGGACCTAGTCTACGCTTTACTTTCTCTTCAAAGTATCTAGCTCCTTCCAAATATTAATCATACTTGATGCCTGTACTGACCTCCTAAGAGTTGTGAACCTTCCAGAGTGATCAAAGTGCGTGGTGCACGCTTACATTTAAAGAGTTACCACAGTACACACACTGTCATTAATCCCCTCAAACTGCTCCTGCTCCCTTCACACACATTCATCCTACAACCTCGTCACCTTGTGAGCAGTTCTGAAAGTTCTCAAGTGATTTTGCAAGAGAGAGACAAGATGAGTGTGTTTCAAGGAAGAGAATATGGGGGGGGGGGAGATTAATCACAATACACCCTTTACTGAAATGGACTTGTAAAACTTCGTGCACTCACTTTGTGTGATCAGGCTTCCTGCCTTTTCTTCAAGCCTTGTTGGTTGATTCGCAGCCAGTTCATTTGTCCGTTTGGTTTTCACCTCTGAATGTGCCAGAGAGTGATTGTGTTTATGAGGCTCCCGTGCTATTTATAACCCACTCTGCCCCTTAGGCAGCTGCTTCCTTGTGTCTCAACAATAACAGGACTGCTTCGTCTTCTCAGCAGGTGTCTGAGCCCCACCTGTTTCCTTCACCCCTGTTTTTGGCTTTGTTTGGCATAAACCCGGAACATGAGCCATGTCAGGATGCAGAGCCCTTAGCCAGGATGAAAGGCCCTGGTTGGCCGTGGCTCCATGGAACCTGAAGAGTCAAAGGCCCTCCATGGAGCTCTGAGCCCTGGGAGCCTAAACAGTGAGGGTGAAATTGAATCTGAGAGCTCATCTGAGCTGTCCCTTACCTGGTGTCCAATCTTCTCTGTAAGTTCCCTGAGCTACCCAACCAGACACTTACAGCTGGCGCCACTGCAGGACAACAGGAATGGCCACACAGCTCTGCCTAATTTCTGCCAAAAGCTGTGTGCAGGGCATTTGCAGATATTAGTTTTAATCTGCCCTTTGAAACTGCATGGCTCAAGCTTAAGCCCTCTGTCATGGGACTGGAACTTTCTGATATTTGTGATTATCTCCTGCGCCTCCAACCACAGCCCCACTCTACCTGTATATGCGCTCCTTTCTTCTGAGCTAAATCTTCTGTTCCTTGACTCAGCCCTGAAGATAGCACAACCTTAATTCTTTTCCATTCTGATTCTTTCCTGCAACTGTAAAGCACTCGATTGAAGCAGGGCGCAATAAAGTACTATGGATATGGTTGTTGTTGTTTTTGTTTTGTGGAACTGGCGGCTACAGTTCCTAATAGCCACCAGGGATTCAGACAGAAGAAAAGGCTGCCGCATTGCCAAAGTCAGATCCCAAGCACTGCTTCTGTGGCACAACCACAACCCTGGAAGCCACATACACATATACTTCTTAATGGCTCCTCTGAAGTAAGTGGCAGGAAGTGGGGAGCCAGACCTGGTGGGCAGAGAGGTACCTCTGAGTCCTTATCTCTGGCACCAGCTTGGGCCCTTCCAGTACAGGAAACAATTGGAAGTTTGTCAAGGGCAATTGAAACCTGTCTCTGGGTATGTGGAGGTGAAATTTACATTTTAAAATGGATGTCACTCACTGCAGCACTCTAACAAGTTCATCCATGATCCTCTGAATTTGCCCAGTAGGAGAAACATAGTAATAGCCTTTCAAAGGTGTCCATGCTTTAGTGGCATTAGCTGGGATGATGTTATCCAGAGTGACAGTGACCTGGATTATACAGATGGGGTGATCTAACCATATGAGTACTTAAGTGAAAGGCAGAGAAGTTTCTCGGTGAGGTGTCACAGGGAAAAATGTGACCACAGAAAAAAGTCAAGAACTGCTGTGTGAAGACAGAGGGAGGAAGCCACAAGCCAAGGAATGTAGGTATCTCACAACAGCTAGAAGAGGACAGGATGCAGATTCTTGTCCAGACCCATCAGGAAGAAGGAAACCCCACCAATGCATTTATCTGAATGTAGGAAGAACCCTGGGGAACTTCTCACCTTCAGAATTGTAGGCTAGCAGATTTCTTAAGTTGTCTTAAGACATAGTTTGGAATAATTTATAGATGATATTTCTATGGTCATTTCCTAAATATTATCCCTTCAGTTGGTTAAGACTTTTGGCTTATTCTTGGTGGGAGCTGTGGGCAAAAGCTTACTTCCTCACATATTAACAGCTGTCCTGTTGCTTGGCTACATTATCAACTCCCAAATTTTAACAGAAGATGGGTCTGATTTCGTTCAGTTTCAGAAGATTCAGTCCATGGTAATCCAGCTACAAGGCAGGAACATCATGGTGGCCGAGAAGCAGAGCAAGAGACTAGAACAAGAGAGGAAGGAGAAAGAGACCAGATACAATACCCAAGGTCACAACTCTGTGGCCCATGCAGACATACCCTGAAGTATGCTCTATCTATCTTCCTCATGGCTTCCAAGCCAATCAAACTGTCCCCATCAGGCTTAACCATCACAGCAGGTACACAGAATAAGCATTGCCCTCAATCAAGAGTGGGAGCTTCTTCTCATAGATGAGTGACTCTGGGAAAACGGTCCAACTCTGAGAGTTTCTGTTGGTATGGTGAACAGGGACAATGCCTAAGGGGCTTCCTGGGCTCCATGACAAGACGGCTTATGTCAGCTGAGGTGATGCTGATACCTATACATGTGACTCTGATGTAGCCTCATCAGATTAACTTCTCACCCACCATCCACAGTCCGCCGACGCCCGTCTGCTCACATCATCTTACCTATTGGCCATCAGCAGCTTTCCTGATCACTGTCCATTCTGATTAAGAGGCCCTTCATTTTTTTTTTAACTGTTTATCGGTACCGGGGATCAAACTCATGACCACCTGCTTGCAGGTGCTTATACCGCTGAGCTAAATCCCCAGCCCCCAAGAGGCCCTTCTTGTCTATCTACATCATTAATATGCTCAGCAAAATGTACAAATCTTCTTCCAAGTGCTAGCGGTAACACTGCAAGGAGACCTGCACACAACCAGGCCACATTTTCCTATTTGATGTGCTCCACTCTTCTTCTAGATTGTTAATTCATGTATCTTGAAACAAAATGGGTTAAAAATGGCTGCTCAATGAGTGAGCCATTGAACACTGAATAAATGAATAAAAGCTCTTTATAAAATTTGATTTATTTTCAGACAGATTATACTGGGAACAGCGGTCCCTATTTCTAGAGCATCTTCTTAGGAAGCCAGGAGGAGAAGTTCGAGTGCAAACCAGACATTGCATTTCTATGGAGCCCTGGTGTCATTTTTAATATTACGGACACTACAACTCTTGATTCATTTGGCAAATACTTACAGACAATGTACCACTTGCCTCTACCCTTCTAAGACAGATCCCATGCTGTTTCTTGGAATGGTGACAGTAAATAAATTATTCTCGTCTTTAGCGAGGCAGTAACCGAGAGTATGTCTCTCTTTACATTAGCACCTAGAAAGCCTAGAAGGCCCAGGGGCAAACTACTAATGTAGAGGACCTGATGGAAGATCAATCTTCCCTGACTTCTGAATCTACTTCTGGTGCACCATGTGACAGCCACCACGTTTCTCTTTCTTCCTCACTTTCACATCTTTAACCAACTATTTGTACATATTTACGTAAACTGCCTCAAATAATTCTGAGGAAAGATAAAAGACCAAACAGTGAAACAGATCAACAGAGGCAACTTGCAAAATCAGGTGTGAGAAGAAATACCTGGTTCTATTTGGTTTTGCCATTTGGTAACTTCCTTGAAATCTTTGGTCATCCCCTTCCATTTTTTCCCCTAATTTGTACTATTTCAAAACTCACATCCTAATGGAGGATGAGTTTGATTTAGTTCAAAGATTCAGAGGATTCAGTCCATAGTAATCTGGACCACAGGATTTTACACAATTTCATTTGTAGGTGCCCTTCATTTCCTGGAAATGACATTAAGAGTTTCCAGTCACTAGAGAAAACTGGTCAAAAGTTCAAAAATCCATCTTTTGAAATCTGGAGTATGCTGAGATCATAAACACACCCAGATGTGTTTGTACCTCATCACCACGTACACTGTTACTTAGCAAAAGTCTAGTTGTATTTTCATTTGTGAGTGATAATGAACAAAAGTTCCTTTTTCTAAGGTCAAAATTTCTAACCCTCATGTTGCAATATTCTAAATCATCAGAGTATTTAATAAAGCTAAACATCCTTAAAACAAAAGTCAGATACACTTTATTTTAAAAATATGCCAGCACAGTAGTGTCCAGCATTCAACAAGGCTGAGCACATCTGTAAACAAATATAGAGACCAAACTCTTCCAGCTGAGAATCTGTGTTCCAGAAAGATAGAATGATTCACCAAAGGAAACCAAAAAGTATTTTTTTAAAAAATATACTTTAGGGTAGATTTTTTGTTCATGCGATAAATATTGTAGGTCTACTGTATCCACAATATCTTAAGTCTCTGAAAATTAAAAGCTTTTTAACAAGTGTGGTCTGGTGGGCACGACGCAATATAAAACTAATGAGGAATCTCAACTGTTTTATTGCATAAAAATATATGTGTTTGATTACAGTGTCTGGGGGTGTTGTGCTAAGTAATACATGGGATATGCATGCTGTGTCTTTTCTGAAACACCCCAAATTTTGAATTTTAAAGCCCATAAATTACAGAAAAGGGATTGTGGCCCATAGCCCACACCTAAGACAGTGAACTGAGTAATGATACTA